GTAAGAAGCATTTCAAGGTCCTGGAGTGGCCTAGCCAGTCTCCAGATCTCAACCCCATACAAAACCTTTGGAGGGAGTTGAAAGTCTGTGTTGCCCAGCGACAGCCCCAAAACATCACTGCTCTAGAGGAGATCTGCATGGAGGAATGGGCCAACATACCAGCAACAGTGTGTGCCAACCTTGTGAAGACGTACAGGACACGTTTGACTTCTGTCATTGCCAACAAAGGATATATAACAAAGTATTGAGATGACCTTTTGATATTGACCAAATACTTAATTTCCACCATAATTTGCAAATAAATTTGTTCCAAATCAGCCAATGTGATTTGTCTGGATTTGTTTTCTCATTTTGTCTCTCATAGTTGAGGTCTACCTATGATACCAATTACAGGCCTCTCATCTTTTTAAGTGGGAGAACTTGCACAATTGGTGGCTGACTAAATACTTTTTTGCCCAACTGTATCTGCTCAATTAGGGCTGGTGAACACTGTCACCAGGACAATAAAAGATGGTAAAATCAAAGTTTTAGGAGAAATTCTCCAACAGGGACATGTTTTCTAGCTAACAGCTAGCTACAGCTAACAGGATCATTTCCCACTCACATTTAGAGAGATTTTCCTATTTCTTCTTGTTGCATCTCTGGGACAGGAGCCAAGGGTTCTCTCCCGAAATGTAACCCAGACATGACATATAAAGTAGTTGAGCCGTTGGATTTTACCCTAAAAAATATGTTTGGGCTATGGCACACTTTTAAAGGCAAAATCTGGAAATTGAAGACTCTGGCTTCCTTTTGCAGACTTCCTTAATTATTACTTTTGATAAACCAAACAAGGCCAACAAGTGCTTGCTAATTGATGAACAATGGGCCGTCTGTAATTTCATATTCACTGTAGCATTTATTTATTTTATTGCACTCTGTATGTGATGAATTTTTTTTACATGCTGCAGTGGTAGCTAAGTGTCCCATCAGTTAGTAAGTGATAGCTGATGTTCTGGGATTTGAAACCCAGGCATTTTATCTAGTACGGTGGAGTTGCCAAGAACCTCCAATGCAGCCTAATATTAAAGGTGCCTCCTATAAATATTAATAAATAAATCAACTAGGAAAGAACATCACGACCTTGGAAAGACTTGTGTGCGGTTGAAACCATAAAGAGATATCTTTGCAGTAATTTGGCATAATAACACCATGGACAAAACTACCGATAACTATGCATTTGGGTGGACTGGCCTTTTTTTAACATACAACACATTAAATACTTGCTTTGGTAAGCCATATGTTTACAACATTGAAAAAAATATATAGAAATACTACAAAAGGTACCTGATTTCCCATATTTTTCTTTGCTGTATACCTGAACTAATATTGAAAACACGCCAATGGGAAAAACATGGAATGTGCTGCAACACCAATTTCTTTAGTCCATTTGCACTGGTCTTATTGCAGCAAATGCCAGTTACCAGAAATAGAAAGGACACCAACATGAAATAATACATTTACATCAATATATAGACAGATACAAATACTAAACAATAGCTTTCATATACATTTATCAATACCATATTTTACCTCCATCCAAATAATATTCTGTTTCCAGGCAAGATTTAAAACCTAATGTGTGTCTACAAACCCCACTTTACCTATCATAAAGAAAGCACCTGTTCATTTATTGTGCACAACTGAGCTTCACTCCAATGTTAACGAAAAGCTAAGGTTCCAGTGTTGGATGAATCAGAGTAGTAGAAGGGCTTAAATACTGATCTTTGCTTGCAAAACCAAAATGGCCAGGCCTCATTTCAGGGGGGAAGATCAAAGTTCAGACTGGCTGATCTTTCAATGCCCTGAGAAAATATCAAGTGACAAAACACCTAGATTTTGGTTACGTGAGAGGTCCTGCTTGAAGCCTTATTTTTCTTAGGAAAGGTATTTTGGCCCTTCTATGATTCTGCATCCATCACAATACAGCTTTGAAGAATACCATAAAAGACAAGCAGAAGCTCCCATTTCTGACCTATACTTATAAAAATACTCGCTGTCTGGCTTTCATTCCACTTGCTTACTTCAGTACTTTGAGCCACTGACCTGGAACAAGTATGCAGATTTTAAACTATCTTGATATGCTTATTTTTATTCTGAGTCAGTGACTAAGCCATGATCACCAAGTATTAAACCCAGTAGCTCTACATAACAAAACAGGTAAACAATTTATTAGGTGGCCAGAAAATTTCCTCCAAAGACAGGTTTCCTTTAAAGATAACCAGTAAGCCTCTATGAGACTGGTGTCATTCTGTAACTGGGGATTAGACTTTACTGACTTCAGGACTATGAACTTCCAACTGTTCACTAAGGCACCTTCGTTGTACAAGAGCATGGCAGTTGGCGGGACATCGCCCTGAATGAGGCCACCAATTATTTTGCAAAATTAAGCTTAGAGAAGCACAATACATAGGATTCTCTGGCTAATAAAGATGTTAACAAGTGAATTGCTGTATATGGACTAAAAGATAAAAACAGCTAGCAAGGGAAACTCTGAGGACAGGAATAGAAGAGATGTAATTTCCAAATCATTTAAAAAGTTTTGAAGCATCATATATAAAAATCAGGGATGTGAAAAGGCTGCCGAGCTACAAGTTCAAAAGAAAGAAAACCACCATCACCACATAACGTGTTCCTCTGTTTCATTGTAGGTCGCTCATTGTTTGATGTGTTTCACAGAATGAAGACAATTAGTGGGTTAATATCCCCAGGCAGTTAAAAACATGCTTCTCTCCGTCAGTATGTTGTACTTTTACATAAAACCATTTCTGTCAGCTGGTGATAAATACTATGGTTTACCAGAATGCAGAACACAAGATACATTAAAGCTCATTATATTTTAATGGCCCCCATGTAGTGTTTCTCATGAACCCTCTTCAGGTCATGCTTTCAGGATTTGTGAAATCTTACACAGGGTGAGGTCAGAAATGACCACAAATAGGAAATCCTGAGGACATCGCTTGTAAGAGGAACTCGGTTGAGAAATACTGCAGCAGAAATTGCCTGCTAGATATGATACACTATATCTTCATACAAACATTCTGTCTCTTGGCTTCTGTTAATGTGTAAGCTATATCTTCTGAAGGCAGTATTCTCTTCAGATTCATAGCCCACCACCCCTAATGTATATCACCCTCCTTAAAAATTACCTTGCTGGACCATTTGCGTGCTTCTTCGTGAAGTTGTCTTGCAGCCACCATCATTGGTTCATTCACCTCGCCCACCTTCTCTTCAGGGAACTCTTCATCCTTCTCATCAGGAGGTGGGGGCCTGGGTGGTGGAATCTCTCCTTCAGGAAGAGGTGGTTTAGGAGGTGCAGCCTCATCGGTCAGCTAGAGGAAAGATAATGTAGTAGAAATTGATTGCCATACCGAACATGCTGTTTACTGCTAATGTATTAGGAATGGGATGCCTATAGAGAATTTCTCAACAGATATCACATTTCTAATGTCTTTTATTGCAGAAAATGTACTCTAATTCATGTATATACCCAATACTGAAAAGTCTGTACGGATTCCACAAAATATACTCAGGAAATATGGTCTTTTCTAGCTAGTACAGGGATGGTCATATTTTTAAATGAAATAGTATTAAACTACAAACATATTGCTGACAATGATGCAACAACAATAATAAATGATGACAGCCAAATGTAATGGCTTTTCCTGACCGTCTGCACTTGTTGGCTAAGAGCGGTGAAGGAAACCCGTCATGTAAAATATGCAGGCTGCGACTGCAAACCTCTTCTTTAAAAAATGCTATTTCTTTACAGTCATGTTTTTTGCTTAAGGGACACTAACTCAGAACAAGTATCAAAAAAAGAATGAGACATTTTTCTGGGTCTTATTTGCTTCTCTTTGTTCTCAGTCTGTGACTAATGTATTGAAACCAGGCAGCTAGCTTTTTCAGGGGGCAGAGAGCTACGGTGGCCTTTTATTTCTTTCATGACAGGTTCCATTTAAGCACTGGCCGCCAATGTTAAGCAATTCCCTGTTTCCTTTCAATAGCTCTAAATTTAGAAAATGATATATTTTAACCTTATAGAATTGAGGTCCAATAAATTGTTATACTTTGCCACTGCCACTGAATATTCAAGGTACTGAACTGTAGAGAAATAAAAGCTGGTCATCTAGGCTGCACCTAAGAAACTAAAAGTGACCTTCATTTTAAATGTTCTTTTCATTGAGTTTAATGCATTTTTATGAGGCCGCCACTGCAAGGATAATGTCCAAGTTCATTTGAAGGGGACGATAGCTTAATCTCACACAGCTTACCCGCAGATGCTCCAAGTCAGGGGGAGGTGGAGGGAATTCTGGCTCCGGAGGCTGGAATGCTTCCCTCACTTTGGCCACAGCTCCTAGGATCCTGTAGCCCGATTCCAAGAAGCCTTTCTGCAAAGCTTAAAGGGGGAAAAAGAATAGCACGTTGGAAAAATAATTTCACAAATATTGTCACAATATATAAAGAGCCAACAACATATAGTGAAAACCAAAATAAGCATATCTACTAAAAAGTAGGTAACACAACTAAATGAGAATGTTTGTCACAATGCAGAAAACAGGAAAAGCTTCACCAATCCTTGATATCCTAATTTAAACAAAAATTGTACTGAGACCGATAAAAGCCACTACTAAAATGGCCTTAGTAATCCGAGTCAATGACCAGGAACAAGGATGCCCCTAATGCAGTCAAAAAGCATAATCTGATGATGGTCAGGTAGCTAGCATTTTCAAAAGGCGAGTTTAGCAATAGCAGCTTTAATAACTCTGTACTCAGGCGGGGGGGGGGAGGTTATCTACACTTTCAGGCAGAGCCTTCTGTGGTTGTTATATTGATCCAAGGCTTGCAAAATGGAGTGACTGAGCCAGAAATATTATAAAGAAAAGGAGTGCTGACTTCACTAGCTGCATGCTTGCACAGGTCAGTGACTCGCAAACTACTAAAGCCAAAGACCACCAGGTAAATAGTATTTTGACAAGGAGGGCAGCAATATGATACCTCCATAGTTCTGTTAGTAGAGTGTTTTGTACTTATTCTTGCTTTCAGAGGCACTTACTAAGCACCTTACCTGGATCTGAGATGTTGCCAGCTACAGCTTTGGCTTCCAGAACCATAGGAGAGATGGTCTTGCTAAGGTCATCTGAAGCATTCTTTACCGCCTCTCGGAATTTTGGATCTTCTGAGTTCTCCACCTCCCTTTTGGCCACCAACAGGATACGGTTTGCACGGCGCGCAATACTAGTGGCTCCAGCAACAAGCATCTGGGGTTGCATATTTGCCATGGCCACTCTGCATTTGTCAATATCCTTCTTAATAGCTTCCTCAGAAGCATCCAGCAGGGCCCGGGTGTCTATGGCTTCATCCACAAGGCCTAGCAAATGAAAAGGAAGTTAAAGATAGAAGGTAATAGTTTGGCAGATATTAGGATTCATGAGAAGAAAAAGTAGCATATCTCTGGCAGTAAAGATGAGTGCAGCCCTCCAAGAAAACTGCATAAAACAAACCTGTCATTTTTTCTACATTATCTATCCATTGATTTTTCATGGTTTCAAAGTGTTCATAGGCAGCCTGGTTCCCTGGATTACGCAACAGGATCCGAGCAGCAGAGACTACCTATAAGACATACACGTCAGAGAATTAAAAAAGCATTGAAAACCTACCAGTCAAATCTACCAGAAATTACGACTGAAAGATAAGGGGTGCTATTGCACAATGGTTCACAGAACAAGAAGCCTTCAGCCCCAGCAGTACCTGGTCAACAAGCCAAATATAATTCACATAAACAGAGTATATGCATTTATACAGTGCGATATTCCCTCACTAAATGTATGCTACTAATTGAAGGGAAACGATCGTGTGTTTTCAGCAAGCACACAGTGAGCAACTAGCATTTTCTGAATGAGAGGTCTGCAGTCACAACCTCCATGTTTTTTACTCATGGCAAGTCTATATATGTCTGTTATGTGTTCTCATTCTCTCAGCATACCTAATCTTTACTTGTACTGTTTCTTGGAAGCAGATTTTTACACAGGACTCTGCAGGCAACTTCAATTGCTTAGAATAGATGGCAATGTGGAGATAAGGGACAGACGTTATGCCCATTGTTTTTGAACAGTGCATTAACATACAATGCAGAACCAAGCCCTATGATCTTTACCCTCTTGTTAGGAAAGACAGTGTTCAAAACTTGTTTACAACTGATAAAGACATCTACCAGCACAGTACATACAGGGTTAACTACTTTAAATATTACTCCACAGCCCCCTTCTAAAAATGACAAAGAAGGGGAAAACTAGATATGATTTTTAAGCAAGTAAAAACTACCTTAAGTAGTAACAAGTATTTTTTAAATATTGAAGATATGCTATTGTTACAGGTAACAAATATACAGTATGTTAGGTGCTATCCCAATTTGGTTGCAAAAGTGTAAATATATCTTAAGGACTATCAATCATAGGCCAACCATAGAACAGTCAATTTTTGGGATGATTTTCTCAAGTTTCTTCGGATATTTATTGAATATGGTTAATTAAAGTTATGCAAGTTAACAGGAATGTATTTTGCAATGGTTTAACGCACATTAGAGCAATTAGCCATTCTTTGATGTTTTATTTTCCAATAGTTTGTACTTTCAACATTAGCAGAGATGTGTAAAGCTATAATAATCCTGAGGGATAAACAGTGATTTGAACTCATTTTAAACAAAAATTACTTGGAAATGATCATGTTCATCATGTTCAATAATATTGCTAATTTTATTGATGGGCAGCACAGTGGCGTAGTGGTCAGCGCTTCTGCCTTGCAGCACTGGGAGTCCCTGGTTCGAATCCCAGCCAGGTCATTATCTGTAAGGAGTTTGCATGTTCTCCCTGTGCTTGTGTGGGTTTCCTCCCACACTCCAAAAAACATGCTGGTAGGTTAATTGGCTCCTCTCTAAGTTGGCCCTCTATGTATGCATGCATAGGGACCTTAGATTGTAAGGTCCTTGAGGGTAGGGACTGATGTGAATGTGCAACTATGTAAAGCGCTGTGTAAAATTATCAGAGCTACATAAATACCTGTAAAAAATAAAATAAAATAAATTGATCGTCAATAATAGATTTTCTACTTAGGATGCTGCAAATATTGTTTCCTTTCATTAGTATACTTTTCAATGTTCACTGAATCTTTGTCAAATCTTATCAATATCAGCCCATCTAGGGTCAGTCTTGGTTACTACTTCTGGAGTAGGAAGTACAGTCTGGATATGTAATGAGCAAAAATAGCTGTCCTCGCATGCCTAGGTATGTGTAGCTCTCTATTTGTTTACAAAAAAATATAAATAAACAAAGCTTGTATATCATCATTGGTTAAGGCTTACCTTGTGCTGGCAACATTCACACACGAAGCAAACAAAGTGAACTTTTTATATGAATGAAATACTATGCCAGTTATAGTTTGTTTTAAAATGTCCAGTAAGTATAGATGATACCACTCAGTGTAAGAGCCCGCCCCACAACAAACCTGAGGAGTGAGCTCCCTGGCCGTCTTTACAGTTGCTTGTATTCCTTCCACAGTGGTTTTATTAGCTGATCCTGCTGCTGCTGCTTTTTCTGCTGTAGCACCAAGACGAGCCGCATGGTTCTCAAAATTGGCAGATCTCTCCAAAAACATCTAGTGACAAGATTTTAAAACGTGTAAGTAGTAAACTATGACAGTAGGTGAAAACTAAAGAGGTAGAGGATCATCAGGAACTGACCTCCTCTCTGTTTGGAGCATCAGGTGGTGAGGTGGCTGCCACAGCCAGAAGTTTAATAGGAGTAGTGGTATCACTGAATACATCAGACACTTCCTGAGTCATTGCTTCTTGCATCCTGGTCTTCAGATCCTAGAAAGCAAAATATATGTAAGAAAAACCCCTTTTCAAGTTGTGGACAATATATTACATCAAATGGAACTACAGTCAAACTTTCCTTTTCATGGTTTACTGCTGTATCTGTCCCCATTAGAGACGGGCTTTAAGGTTGTATCAATGAACTTGCTTTTGAGTTTGGGAGGCTTCTGAGGTCATTCAGAATTTATTGACAGGTACATGTGACCTCCTCCTGACCTGCATTTAAGTGGCTTTTGCATTCGCAGATATTTGTAGGGGAAGAGAAGCAGTTATGATGCAAACAAAAAGCCAGTTGACGCACGCCCTTAGGGAAATTTAAAACTCCATTCTTGCCAAGATGACATCCAGGACAGTGCTCTGAGAAGAGCTTACTGTTTGCCCTCCCTGGAAAGCATTCCCCATCTTTTCCTTTGGAACATTTAGCAGGCATTGGCAATAGTATCACTGTTCCCAAAACGGGGGGAAAATACAATGCAGGCTACAGCAATGTCCTATTTATCTCCTCGTGTGGGCATAGAGGAAACAAAAAAATAATCTTAACAGCGTGCAAGGCTCACTTTTTAAAGTATCACCCTTATTTAAACACAAAATAAAATCAGGGAGTGATGTCATCCTTCTGCCAAAGTGATCTCAGGGAATGATGGGTGCTCAAAATCTCAAGAGATGACACTGAGGCACAGCACCGGGAGCATCTTCTCAGTGAGATTTGGAGACGCATTCTCCAGATGTCGGCAGAAGGAGAAGGAGGATGATGTGACCCCTTGCAGACCCTGCATTTTAGCTGCAAGGTTTAATATCGTTTTAATATTGATATTAAATCAAATTTAAAAAATTGATTAAATAAGGGATACCTATTTTTAACCTAGTCTACCTTGTCTCTGTCACTTTACAGCAGAGAACACAAATGCAGCTGTTGCCATCACCATGACCCCTGGTCTCTTGTTAACAAATGCTAACTTCATTTAAACAAATAGCTGTAAATACTCAATAGTCAACCTTCAACGCATCCTGGAGTTGAGCAGCCACAGCTCGAGCCTGTGGTGTGTCCCCTTCGCCCCGTGCTGCTAGCTCAGCAAGTGTTCCCGCCAACTGCTCTACACGGTCACACTTTGCCATCATATCTTGGCGGTAAGGTCCGATCATAGAGTTCGCCAAGCGACGTCCTTCTGCTACGAGGCCACGGACGGCAGCTTGACCTTTACAAAATACAAGAAAAATGCTTTGACAATGCCAACAGACGTACTCATAAAAGAATACATTTAATTAGTGGAAGAAGAGAATTTAAAATACTATAGGTGTTTTGCTGTTGATTTGTTTTTGTTTTGTTTTTTTAATTAGCTCATCTTGAAGGTTACAGTTGGAGGAAATCAATCATGGAATGCGTCATGCAATAATTTCCCTAGACTACCAGTTAAGGATTAACTTCAACCAAAAACTAGTACTAGAGTAGAAAAAAAATTAAAAGCTCTATGAGGTTTTATATTGTTGTCCATGTTGTGGTGATTTCCCTTAGTTGCTGTTCTGACACCCATCACCTGGACAGTACAAATGGGAGACCGCAATATAAAAAAAATAAAATAGATGTTCTAACACTTCCCCACTACCAAAAACAAAACAAAAACACTTGAGTTGGATGTTAAACAATTTTCTTACCCACACCACGGTCATCCACAGAGGGATTGTCAATCCAGCGCTGGGCCTGCTCTACCTTTCCTTCCATATTTACAGCAGCTTTCACAGGACGGCTGTTGGCCACGGCACGATTCACCTTGGTCTGCAAATTCTGCAGTGAAGTTGCTATCTGCTTCGCTAAGGCACGTGCTTCTGGTGTGTTTCCCTTCCCTCTGTTTTGTTTTTAAGAGAAAAGGAAAGAAAAAAAAAAAACATATACTAAAGCTTTTATTTCTATACATGTCCATCTACACCAAAACCCTCTTAGTAAAAACCTGGACATCTCATAAAGGGTATACTATGCATAAAAGGGAGCTAGAGTCAGTAAATGTTACATCAGAAGCATATCTTAACCCCTTCATGACTGAGGCCCTTTTTTCATTTTTTGCACCCATGTTATATTCCACATTTTAGGCCTGACAATGACTTAAAACCCCCCAACATTATATATTTTCTGAATGCCAAGACCCTATAGAATAAAATGGTGGTAGTTGAAAATTTTTATGTATATACGTAAAAGTCAATCTTGGCCTCTCCCCTTCCCAAGCCTCTTATTAATATAGCGATAGTCTGCCTCATTTACCAGTAAGGAAACCCAGAAGGTGAGAGCGGCACAGTCATGACACAATTAACAGATCCTGAGCTAGAAGCAGCTTAAAGTTTATACTTGGAAAGTATTAAAATTATAACTTCCAAAGCCTGTGTCTCTGGATCTCGATGGTTTTTTGCATACACATTTTGTCATTACACGCTAATTTTTATTTGGCAGGTATGCAACAGGTTTAGGGGATAATTTATACAGCGCTCAGAACCTATGAATTAAATATAATTAAATATAAATTACATTATAACACAAACATGATTCCAAAAGAATCTAAATAATACAAGTATATGATCCAATAGCAGTGAAACAAAAACCGTTAGGGAAATATAAGATAAAACAGAGGAGGAAAAAACTCCTTTCCAGATCCGTGCAAGTCCCACAACTGTATGTGAAAACAAATAAATGTGTTCCAAAAACGAAGAGTCCGTGCTCCTTAATGTGCTTCACAGAAGAGATTCCCCTAATGGGTATGCACTCACGCTTTTTTCAATCAGCACGTATAAACATGAAGTCGGAATAGCTTTCAGCGTCCTGCGTGCTTAGATCCCCTTTTTTTCAAATTCCATCTTCAGCAGGTGACCATAATAAAGCAGAACACAATCCTCACGGTGCAGTATGTAAAATTTATTTAGACAAAAATGATGTAGAAACTCACATTTAAGAAAGTAACAGCCGGCCGGCTACCGCAAAAAATCCGTCTCCTTAGATTGAGAGTGTGACGTCACCAGATCCCGCCTCCGACACGTTTCGTCGTCACGCCGTTGTCAAGGAATAGCAGGTCTGGTTGGTCACACTCCAGTCATCATTTATAACCCAAGGCTTACGAGCAATCTGTTAGAACCCCTTCAGGTGTCAAGCTAATTCAACCGCAAGGGAAATGTTTCTATATAAATGCTACACTAACAACTCACAAACCCTTATACACCACCATCCACCCGCAATAGCCATTTTGTAGGTAGAAAATATAAATATCAGTGGGAAATATTTCACTTATAGGACAAAACTATATCTATATTCCAGTAAATAAGGATGCATACATATATGTTGGAATCTATCTAAATCGTCCCAATATATCGACTAGGTAAATAAATGTATATAAATATATAATACATGCACTAGGTACCTTTTTCGAAGGGAAAGGTTTTTCCCATGTAAAAAATGTGTGAGCTGCAGGGCTACAGGGACTTAAGTAAACTATGTTGTTTAAATCTAACAATAATAAGGAATATAAAATGAATAAATTTATATCATGCCTGAGTAGATTCATAACATATCTGTTAGACTGCCCATGCGGACTACAATATGTAGGACGGACAACCAGAGAGCTTAGGAAAAGACTGGAAGAACACAAGTGTATTCATTCCTTCCTACAAAATGGCTATTGCGGGTGGATGGTGGTGTATAAGGGTTTGTGAGTTGTTAGTGTAGCATTTATATAGAAACATTTCCCCTGCGGTTGAATTAGCTTAACACCTGAAGGTGTTCTAACAGATTGCTCGTAAGCCCCGGGTATAAATGATGACTGGAGTGTGACCAAGCAGACCTGCTATTCCTTGACAACGTCGTGACGACGAAACGCGTCGGAGGCGGGATCTGGTGACGTCACACTCTCAATCTTAGGAGACAGATTTTTTGCGGTAGCCGTCTGGCTGTTACTTTCTTAAATGTGAGTTTCTACATAATTTTTGTCTAAATAAATTTTACATACTGCACGTGAGGATTGTGTTTTGCTTTATTATGGTCACCTGCTGAAGATGGAATTTGAAAAAAGTGGCTCTAAGGACAGAGGATGCTGAAAGCTATTCTGACTTCATGTTAATGCGCGCTGATTGAAAAAAACGTATATTGGCTGTTATCATACGACCACTCTTTCGCGGTGAGTGCATGCCCATTAGGGGAAACTCTTCTGTGAAGCACATTAAGGAGCACGGACTCTTCGTTTTTGGAACACATTTATTTGTTTTCACATACAGTTGTGGGACTTGCACGGATCTGGAAAGGAGTTTTTGTCCTCCTCTGTTTTATCTTATATTTCACTAACGGTTTTTGTTTTACTGCTATTGGATCATATACTTGTATTATTTAGATTCTTTTGTACTTATGTTTGTGTTATAATGTAATTTATGTATTACTAGTTTCTTAATTTACACATAGATTTCACATAATCTATACTACAGTATAGGTATATAAAAATGGTTTGTTTGCATTTACACAAATACTATTTAGCACTTTTTAGTATGTTTAGATTCATAGAAAGGTTCTGAAAGCTGTTTAAATTATCCCCTTGACGATTAAGGCTCCACAACCTTGATATAGCAGCTTTTAACCTTCTAATTTATTTAATATATATATTTTTTGTAAAATATTTTTTCTTTTCCATTAGCACAGATTTTCCACCATTATGTAACAGGTTTACTTGAATTTATTTTGTACATACTGTCGACGGAGCTCACTCAGCTTGCCAGTGGCCGCTGCTATTTCTCCCAAGGAACGCAAGATGTCCTCTCTATCCTTAGGATCCTCGCACAACTCTGCAATCCTCTTAGCTTCTGCTAGGATTTCCCGCATAGTCTCCTCTCCTTCAGGACCACCATTGGGATCTGCAAGCCAGCTCTGTAAAAATAACACACATTGAACAAAGAAATTAAAAAATGAACCTTGGAGATGGTTTAAAAAGAAATTATCTAAAAGAGTCCTGTCCATGTCTCTTTTTAGGCATGGTAGATGTTTAATATATCAAGTGTACTGACTAATGGAAAAAAAGGTGTGATCTGCTTTCCACAAACTATCAAAGCATGCTATACATCCAGGAATCAGCTTCAACTGAATGTATTTATATATTTTTTTGGTAAAATGGTCAGGTGTATTTGATCGGTAACCCAATGTAACTTTATGGGCAGCCGGATGTAAATGGGAGTATGTCTGTTTCCATCCGATTGCCTCCGAGTCTGTTTAGTGCAAAAAGATATAAATAAAACTGTAACTTAAATATTATATACACTGAGTGGCCAGATTATTATGACCACCTGACGTTTGTAGGCAAATTAGCTATAATTTTGCGCTGAAGTTGCTAGCGGGCCAGACCATTATAAATAGGGAAGCAGGTTGTTTACTACGACAGTAGAAGTGATTTTTTTCTGAAGATATGGGTAAACAACGCGATTTAACAGCCTTTGAACGTGGGATGATTGTTGGCGCTCGGAGCCATGGAGCGAGTATCAGCAAAACAGCAGAATTCATGTTCAAGAGGGGCTCATTGTTAAAGTTTTTAAAGACTGGACTGTCAGCCGAAAACTACAATACAGCTTGGTCTTACCTGAGCTGCGTCAATCTTTTTGCCAATAGCTTGTTTGGAGTTTGTCAGAACTTCCAACTTACGGGCGGCATTTTCAACTTTAGCTGTCAGGAGGTCTAAGCCCTGAGATACTTGCTGTGCTTTCTGCATTGCTGCTGGGGTAGCACCTTGGCCTCTGTTTCATGAGGAAGAAGCAAGTCAAATTCAGGAAAAAAAAAACAGAAAAAACAAACAATAGCGCACATTCGTAGATAAAGACCAAGGGCTGAAAATATTTCTACAAAACTTAAGTGGAATCTATGATGGCAATATTCTTTCAGATGTTAACCCGCCCCCAAACTTGTCATTGAGAAAGGGAAGCTCTGCGTAGATAATATTTAAATTGACTTGTTATAGAAATAATATAAAACACAGCACACTCTCTAATCTGCAGCTACTGTGTAATATCCAAACAGCTATCAATTGACAGTTTTTCTAAAATACAGCACATCTATAAATCAAATATCTATATGATTCATTCAACGTGTGTAATAATAAAATATGTCACAATAAAAAAAACTAAAAAATAATGTATAATTAAGTGTGAAAGTGGCAAGGCAATAGAATAAATACTATACATATAACACAAAAGTATGTCTTATGTCCATAGTTATTAGCAAGCACTGTGCTAACAATACCCAATATGTAATATGAAATTAGACTGCAATAAAAGTGACCGAGTACATTCAGTGCAAAACAAAAAGGGTGAAAATGCCTATCAATTGTAATCAATAGCAACTGTAGCACCCAATTAAGATTGGACACTATCCCCGTGCTTTTATATGCGTGGGTAAACGCATCAGATTATACTGATCTTTATATAATTAGGTGAAGCTGCGCTTTCCCCGACTTAACATATATACACACACTCACAGACCTTCATCTCACCACATTAAAACAATAAGAGGAGGAAATCTATAGTGCAAAACCAAGTAGGAACTGAGAGCCTCCCACTTAACCAGTTGACATCCGCGGTGTTAAACCCCCTTCCCATCCAGGCCATTTTTCAGTATTCAGCGCTGCGGTACTTTAACTGACATTTATTCCGTCATGCAGCGCTGTACTGAAATGAATTTTATACCCTTTTTTGGGGACAGATAGAGCTTTCTTTTGGTGGTATTTATTCACCACTGGGGGTTTTATTTTTTTACTATATTAAGGAAAAATTACCGAAATTTAAAAAAAAAAACAGTTTCCCCTATATTAAATGATAAAACATTTATTATTACCCAATTTTTTGGTAAAATATAAAAGATGGGGTCACGTCGGGTAAAAAGACACTAAACATGTCAAGCCTTAAAATTGCGTGCGCGCGCGAAACCTCAAAAAACGATAATACCCAAAATTGGCCCTAGGCGACGCTTTAAAAGCTGTTACCGCTCATCAGTTTAGTGTTATCAGTGATTGATGGCCCTAAAATGATTGCTCTCACTGCGACGTTCGCGGCGATATGTAACATGTGTAGCGCAATTGTAATTTTTGCGCGCTGGGGCACCGGACGCGTATTTACGTTTATAGGCGCGTAAACGTGGGGGTGGGGGAGTTAAACATTTTGGGGGGGGTTTTTCCCCTTTTTTTATATGTGACTTTTATTTTATTTTACTTTTTTATGTGTTACTTTTATTTTTTTTTATTTATATTTATTTTTTTTGCACTTATTGGTATTGCTATTATATAGGGGGATAACAACCCCCTATATAATAGCAAAGGCACACTGACAGGTCCTCTTTATGGAGATATTGGGGGTCTCTAGGAAGCGCCGACCGGGCGCGGGGGGGATGCCGCGAACGAGCACATATAGGCGATCGGCGGGCTATGGACCCGCTGATCGCCTATATGTGTAACACCCGGTAACGGGTGTGTGCACTGATCGGGTCTTTTCTGCCCGTGCGTGCCCGCTAGGGGGCGTGCGCGAGCAGAAAAAAAATTGCTGTCTGGAGACGGCAACCCGCAGATGCAGCAGTGCCGTCCGTCCGTTTTTCTACTACGGGCGGACGGCAAGAGGTTAACGTGATGCCACTGACAACTCTGGAGTAACCCCAGAAGTGATGAAACGCATTGGACAAAGTCCATGACATCATTACTTTTAGAGGAACACTCTTCGCTCTCAGGGCTTCATTTTTTAAAGCAATGTCATGTAGGAATATAAAATCAGGTCTCACTATAATACTCACCCAATCTCCAGCGCTGACCCTCACGTACACTGCTCTGTGATCCAGTGTCGGTCCTCTTCCAGGCTATACGTCACCCAAAATCATCCCACCCACTTCCTGTGTAGCCTTAGAAAGTAATGATGCCACTGATCAGCCTGGCAATTCACATTTTCAGAAGGATATGTCTACAGCTCTATATTCTTGTTAAGGTTTACTTTAAAAGCTTTTATCATGTTCCCATTGGTGCTAAAAGTTCACACATTATAAACAAAATAAAGTCACATACACCGAGGGTGTCACAGAAACTTTTGGCTGATGAAAGATTACACATACCTTGCCCTTAAATCAGCCACTTGATCTGTTATCTGATTTAGAGCCTGGCAGGTCCCCAAAATGTCCTTCCGCTCCTTGCCTGCACATAGCTCCCCGACTTTCCCTGCCTCATCCAGAATCTGGCGCACAGCTTGCTCTCCGGCATCACCTGGACGGAGAAGTGGACATTGAACATAGCATAAGCTGTATCAAAGCATAGAAAAAAAAATCTTGAAGAACAAACACCAAAAAATATGTTTAAACACACATCAATGACAGCTGTGAATCTGCACAGCTCAGGCCCCGACAAAAGAAGCAAAAGTTACATTAAAAAAATGTAACATTGATGAGAAACGTAATGTAACCAATGTCCTTCAACATCTGAAATGTTACACATTTCACTTACCTGGGGGTGCATTTGGATCTCTCAGCCATCCCTTTGCCTGGTTCATTTTAGAGCCAATGAGCGCAAGGGCCCTCTTCATAGCTTCTGTGTCCTATACGTATAGATGGAAGCCACGATTATTATCATTTTTAGGAATGATTGACATATAAGCAATGAATTGTAAGTCTGCATTAGAAATAGTTGCTCAACTTTATAAGAGATTAGCATATGATTGGGACATTCTAGTTTTCTGGATTGTGGTTTACTAGGGACCAACTTTTCTTCAGTCACCCATATTATCAAATTTAAATGAAACAAAATTGAACACATCCAAAAAGGTACCTATGCAAATCATCCAATACTAACTTCACATATCAATTTAAGAAAAAATACTTTTTCAAACTTATAATGTGGGACTTAAAAAGGACCTCTGTCACTTGCCTGAGGTTACTACTTGTAAACAAAGTATTCAATTCAGAATTCTTTCATTTAATATACCTTTATAACTTGAGATGCACCGGTACCAATACTAGTATCGCTCCCGATACAGGGCCTTTTTACGAGTACTTGTACTCATGAAAATGCCCCGATACATAGAGCTGATGTCGACGCTTTAAAATTTTAAATAGCTTCGGGCTGCTCGTTTTAGTACTAGTGATCCGCCCGGATCACTTGTACAGCAGCCCGCTTGCTTGTCTGCTCCTGCAGTCTCTGATGGCATAAAGGAATATTCTGATATGTGTACAGAAATCTACCAGTGTATGGCCAACTTTAGTTAGGTTAGACATATTTACTTTATTTTTAATGCAAATGCAGTGTGTGTTATATGCACCAGAAATTGCAACAGTTGGGTACATTTAGCACAAACAAATGCAGTAGTGCCCAACGCACTTGTCATCACTAAAGAGAGAATGTTAAAAGCACCTCCATTAGTACCCAAAAGGCCAAGTCACACTAGCGATCATGTTGCTAGAGAAAACTGGGCAGCAACAGGAACATTCATAGGATCCTAAGGCACAGCTCACCAAGATGTTGCAGAATCTAACTCACAATGGCGCAACACCTTAATGGTTCAGCCAGCAAGGGACCAAATAAACAGGAGCAGGTGAGTGCTCTCTCTGTGCTCTTAGTGATCCAGTCACTGAGGTTATATTGTCAATGACAGGATCACTAACATGACATTAGGGTAATAAACAATTTGAATCACTGTAAATCAGGCTGAGCGGAAATGCTGCAATTGTAGTTTATTCATTTTTTTACCTTTTATTACTACTTAGGTGTTTTGTGTCTTTATGAGCAATAGTAGGTAAACTAACGCCTAACATCAATTTTTTTAAATTATTTGCGGTCTAAACCACCTACTACTATTTAACAATCTAAAAGTTAAACTGGGATAGAACCATTCAAAGAATACATATGCATGTGAAGCAGACAATATGTTTATAGTCTCTACAACCTGACGACACTAATATAAAGCTCACACAATGCTGTTCAGAGGATACAGGCTTCGCAGAAAAGGATGCTCCTTAGTGTCCAGGCTCTTAAAGGCTCAGGCATTAGAAATCAAACATGCCCATCTTAACCACCCCAAGGACTTAAAACAAAGAGGCACATTCCACATATATCTAGCAAACACTCAAGGCATTAAAAACCCAACTGATGTCCCAATAAAGGGTTTCTCAGTCGCAGTAAGTAACACACATACAAGTAAACATGGCAAACCAAAACTTTTTTTATTTTTCCCTATAATCATGCACAAGCTGAAAATATAAACAGCATCACATTAAAACAAATATCCGCTTTGGTCAGGTATGGTTTTACTGTTCAGTATTACTTCGCAAGCAATCACATTAAACTGTATGAGGTATATTCCCATACACTGATATCACAAGAGTCTTGCTAAAGCATATGAGAAATGTTCACACACACACAAAAAAAAAAAAAAAGTGTAGGGCTGAAACAACTGAATGATTTTGTCCATAATAAAATCGATAAGAATAATTGTCAAATGATTCTCAATACTGATTAGTTGAGCTGCGCACAGTCCTCTGCGATCTGCACTGCTCCCAGCGGGATCAGAGGGGACACGGACCGTTGAAGCCATTGCCCAGTGGTGAGGAGAGCTCTCCAAAAATATATATGTGAAATATTTATCGATCCTTTCCTGTGAAGAACAAACACCAAGTGATCTGTAATGATCACTCGATGCTTGTAAAATAACTGAGGACATAGTATTATAGATTTAGATAGAAACTGTGCCACCAATTCTGAATGAACATGAAATGCTCTACAATCACTTCCTGATCATTCACGATTGTGGACATAGTATCTGTTTACTATCTCCTCAAATTTAAGAATAAATGGGAAGCCTTTGTCCGGAGCATTTCCTGTTCATTAAATGCTGAGGCTGCAGAAAAAGAGATAGAGGACTCGGTGTCCTCAATATCTATTTTTATTTCAAAAAGGAATCAGGGGGGCTGTTTAGACCCTTGAAATTTCCCCAAGGCCCCTGACAGTAAAGTAAAAAAAAAATAAAAAAAAAAACAATTAAAAAAAATGTATATATATAAAAAAACAAAAATGGTGTATTGCAGTATGCAATGATACCTTTCTTATTGGACCAACATATTATTTAAAAGACAAGCTTTCGAGAGTTAACCTATCTTCTTCAGGTCAGAAACAATAAGTATTTTACTGAGTGAAGATTCTCAAATCCTTTAGTAAATCAGGCTCCATGAGTATCAGTCATACCCTAGAAGAATTGGCTACAATTAAGTTTTGATACAAAATTGTATATAGATATATATCTATCTATCTATATCTATAGATCTATATCTATCTATCTATATCTATCTATAGATCTATATCTATACATCTATATCTATCTATAGATCTATATCTATACATCTATATCTATCTATAGATCTATATCTAGATATAGATCTATATCTATAGCTATATCTATATCTATAGCTATATCTATATCTATAGCTATAGCTGAGTCCCTCTGTGTCCTCACATATACAGGGCTATTGGTCCTGCATTAGATGTAATGATGTCAGCAGGGGGGAGAGAAGAGGCTGCAAGCGCCAGTCTAGGAGCCAGAGGCAGCAAGGATCATGCAAGTAAAAATCCTTTTTTTTAAATTATTGTAGACAGACTTTAAGGCAATGCAAGTCAATGCAAGTCAATGCAAATTAACATGTTGTGTTCTGTGTAGGAAAGAAGGTGTAGTTCCGGTATAAATCCTAACTGGACACCAGCTACGATCATCAGATTCAGGACATAACCACTTCAAATCACATCAGATAATGGCTATTCTAAAGCACACTAAATGATTAGAGAACGGGGAAGAAAAAAAAAAAACCACACGGCACTCTGAAGTTAAAGGACATGCTACTTCTGCTGCAGACATCTTACCTTCTACACCCCAGAACATAAAAGAAATAATTACATAAAAAAAGAGACTGTGAAAAACAAACCCCATTATATGAGACGAGGATTTTCAAAACTTAAATAAAGACAAAACACATTGATAGCAAAAAGTATAAAGATAAGATTTTTACCAAATGTGCATAAAACAAAAACTACTAAAAATACAAAGTATAAATAAAATCAAGCTGATGTAATGTAAGGAATGGACAATTTCAAATTGCATTTTTAAGTGTTATTGATGCAATTCATATTTCCAGATCTACATACAAAGTTCCAGATCAGTGACTGAGAAAAATATTCAAGATAAAAGGATCAGTAGTCAGTCAGGCTACTAGCATTGCCTAATTGAGGGCAGCAAAGTCTACCTACTTCTCTCATTAAAGTCTCTCAATAACAATAATAGATCAAACTGGTCAAAGTTGGGCTCTCAATCAGAAGTTTTGGCCAAACATAAATATGGAATTTCATTCAACTCAAACAATACCTTAATGTTGTTGCCGCTGGGTGGAGACTCATGTGTTACAGATTGAAAACTGATGACAAAATAGGATGTAAAGTAAAACCTAACATTGCTAAACTACAATACCTCGCTATACAATAATCTTTTCTGAAGCTTCATAAAGTAGTAGCAATGGTAAGCATACTGTAGAAGTATAAGGCTTCCTTAGCATGAAAACATACCCTCCCTCTATCAAACTTACACACCACTTCACATCTCACCTTGCTGGCCCAGGCGTCTTCATCCCAAGAAGTAAGCTGCAGTACTCTAATTATTTCATTAATCTCAGCACTCATCTTATCCACTGTAAAGTTACGATTTTTCAGAGCTTCTTCTACACCTTGGCTACGGGAACTCTTAGTTGTCACAAAGATCTTCATAGCTATGAGAAAAAAAGGGCTCAATGAAGTAAAAAATCCTGGCAAAACACAGTGGTCTAGAGTTTAGTACTCCTGCCTTGCAGCACTGGGGTTCTCAGTTTAACCCTTTCCCTGCCACTGACCTAAGGCATACGGCAGTACACAACTGTTTCCAGCTGGCCACGTCAGTATGCCTTACGTCGGTGGTTTTCACCCTTCCGATATAGCTCACGGTCGCCTGTATGGGCAGAGACAGCGTGGATGCGAGGAGAAACAGACCGCTGCAGCCGGCAGGGGGGTAGAGGAGAGAGCTGTCAAATTCAGGATACCGAGCAGAGGGGAAGAGAGGAGAGCCGCTGACAGATTCTGGAAAGCAGGTCTGTGTGTGGCCAAGCGCTTCAGGATGGAGAGAGGAGGATTGGTAAGTATGTGTAATAATATGATCAGCGATCACTCCAGTGTTTGTAAATAACAATAGTTATTTACATAGTATGTGTTCCCAGGTATGAATGAACAGGAAGTGTTACACATCACATTCATCAGTTTTTGAACGGAGAGGAGCACTCAGTACAGAGGCTTCTGTCCATTCATAACTGGGAAGAGTACTATGCCTCCTCAGTTTATGAATCAATAGGAAGTCTCTGTACTGAGAGCTCCTGTTCATTCACAGTTGGAGCTGCAGAAAAAGATGGACAACTGTATCCTCAATTTCAAAAAGGGAAATGTCAGGGGCCTGTTTAGACGCCTGATATTTTCCCGAAGCGCCCCCAACAGTAAAAAACCCAACAGTAAAAGAAAATTTTTAAAGAACTAAAAAAAAACCCCAACAATCCCAATCCCCCATCACACACACACTATACACGTGCAACAGTGCCCACTTATCCTGCATGTAGATGTGCTGCCGTGCATTGTTGGAACACATCGCAGTGCTTGATTTTTTTTCTTTTGAAAATAACATTCATTCACCTTTTGGCAGCCCTTGGCAAAGCATTGTGACACATTGCCGTGCGTTGTGATACACTTTGTTGCAATTAAACGTATGCCTGCATCATTTTATCATAACACGCACCAACACAGCGCACAAACAGCACAGATCAGACGTTACCACAACACACATTTTTAGAACGAGTTACTTATTTTCAGTTTTGCGCTCCTTAATTTTTTTACCGTTTCGCAAAAAGGCACAATTTAAAATTTACAAATATTTATGTACATCAATACAGTTGTATCTTTTAGATTTAGGTCAGAAAAGTGTTTTTTGTGTGCACTGATACTGATTTTATCAATTTAATTGTGTATATTTATCAGTTTAATATGGATTTGATAAACATTTGCTCAATTATCGCATGATATACAAAATTAGTAGCGCCATTTTTTTTTATTTAACCGGTCATGTGCTTTAAGGAAATGTATGGTTCTGGGGGGTCTTTTACAAATTGTAAAAGCTGCAGTTAAAAAAAAATTATAATAATAATTGCAAAAATGGTCTGGCCAGCTGAGGTCAAAAGTGGAACGCCGGGCTTGGCAGCGAAAAGGTTAAATCCTGGCCAGAACGCTGTCTGCATGGATTTTTCATGTTCTCATGGGTTCCCTCCCGGTACTTTGGTTTCCTCCCACACTCCAAAGACATGCTGGTAGGTTAATAGAATACTGTCTAAATTGGCCCTTGTGTATGTATGCATGTTGAATGGGGACATTAGATAGTAAGCTCCCTGAGGGCAGTGACTGAAGTGAATGTGAAGTCTGTATACTGCTGCGTAACTTGTTGGCGCTATATAAATGCCTGAATACGTGAATAAGAACTTGAGGCATAAAGCCAAATATCAGTATCTGCAGGAACACACATACCTGAAATCAACACTGGCAGCAGATCTTTCACCATGTTCATGGAATTGACAAGCATAACTCTATGTTCCTGATGGGTCAACTCTTGTTGACGGTCATCAATCATTTTTGCCATCTTGGTCATTCCTAAAATTAAAAAAAAAAATCTTGAACTCAATGAAACTGTCATGTATCACTTCCAAACTCTTCTACAACTGCAATATAATTTCAATAACAAATACATGAAAAAAAGGAGAATATGACTGAATGAAAGGGAAGGAGGAGAAAAACACATTTTATGCATGGATTTCATTAGAATTCTGATTGGTCAGGGGGATACCAATTGGAAAGTAAAAATTACAACCCTGTCACTTGAAAAGGCCAGGGATACAAGCAAAAAAAAAATCAGGAGAGCAGTGTCTGGATGTAAATAGATTTCCATAAATAGCACCTGGCTCTGGTACTTAAACAAGTGGAGAGAGGATGTACTTTCATTCAAACAGAAGACAGTATGCAGCAGTAATTTAAGTTTACATGGTTTGGAATATACAGAACCAAGAGCAGCTGGGTGTGGAGCAACCTTTTGGGACAGAGGGATGCAGGCTTTACCACCAGACCCAGGAACAGGATCAGAATGTTCAGAGTGGTCTCCTTATACCCCACCAACAGTCTCTCTCAAGGGGACTGCTTGGAGTGAGCAATAAAAGAATGACCCCCCACAAAGCAATGCTCTGTAACAGGGAACTGTAAAAGGGAACAAACCGAATGAAACAAAAACCACAAAATTTTTTTTTTTTAAATTGCTACTTCTCCTGCTTCTAAATTCCAGAAATACACTGCAAAATAAACCTCTTATGAGGCTAAAAGAGTGTTTTTAACCCCTTCATTACTGTGCTTGTTTTTCGTTTCTGTTCGTAAATGACTTAAGCACTTTTTACATTTTTGCTGTGTGATTCTTCCACGTCAGTAATATACTTTCTTACAAGGTGCACCCACACATATTATATGTTGTTTTTTAGAGGACACATAGGGCTATATATTTATATCACATATGTGTGCCTAACGCCTTACTTAGGACAAATACAATATTTTTAAAAAGAAGAGGAAAAAAACGTAAAGAAAAAACACTTTTTCCACCAGTTTTGATTTGTAGAATTTTTTACATAAACAGCACAGCTAAAAAAATAAAAATACATTCATTTATTTGTCCTTTATTTGGAAAAACCTCACATCCCTAGAAATTTAGACATTTTACAAATAATTTTTGGTTATTATTAGGCTGCTTCAAACTTCAGAACAGCCAATAATAGTGACAGCAAATCACTAAACTAAAAAAAACTAAAGGTTTTTTGATCATTACAACAACGATCAGAAAACTGAAACATTCTTTCAGGAATAGAAACATTGTGTTTCTATTCTTGAAAGTAAAAAAAAAATAAAGAAGGTGGTATACGAACGAAATTCCCCGATCTATACCAGCTGTCGGAGTGAGGGCAAGAGCTGCATATGTGGCTCTGCTCTCACTCCCAGACACCAGATTCCTGAAGGGGTTTGGGTGTCTGAAAAAGCTCAACTCTTTCATTAATGGATGCCTCTATACCGAGGCATCCATTAATGAATGGTAACTGCTGGTTCTCAGCGGTTACCAGCCTTGTAAAGCAGCAAATAACTTGTCCCGTACAGTCTACGCGATGAGTCATTTGGGCACTCCGTGGCGGGACGTACAGTGTACGTCCACCGTCTCAAAGGGGTTAATGTGTGGTTTACAAATGTTACTTTTTAAACTTCATAACTTGGCTGATACTGGATACACATGTACCATTTACTTGTTAAGAAAAGCGATATTAACCTTAATGTGGAGGCTAGCAACTTCTGAAATAGGTTTATAGATGGGGTTGTAGTCAAATTTGCACTCACAGTTAAAACAAATTATTCCTTGATATAGAGAGGGCAAGGGGGCATTCAAACCAAAATCGGAAGGAAAATCGCGAGTAAACAGAGGCTCTGTTGAGGTGCAATTGTACCTTCCAATTTCCTTTAGATCCGTTGCAATACGTTTTACAATGGATGTTAACAGAAGGGCACCAAAAAATTAATGGATGTGAATAGGAATAGTTCCCATCGGTTACGTTGCTCTGAAAAAAAAGTAATGCATGTTCTACTTTTTCAGCGCAAAGCAACACAACGGAGCAGTGTTAACTAGTCCCATTCACATCCATTAATTTTTGATACCCTTCTGTTAGCATCCATTTAAAATATAACGGATCCAGTTTGAATGGGCCTTAAGAGTATTTCAGGTGTGTAAGATGGAATTTCCCTCACTTTGGAGAGGTTTCTGTTGCGTTTTTAACCAATCGATCCACAACTGGAAATTTAAAAAAAAAAATTAAAAACTGGCAATATATCACAGTTAATGAACTCTTCCCTGTTCTATGTATGCCATTGTGTTGGGTAAGCAGTGAATCTCTATAAAAAGTTGTATATTAAGTTAGAGTTATGTCCTATGTGGCCACCATGATGCAAGCTTGGATTAGTATTCTGTCAATACTAATACTGACATTCTACTACAATACTGACATTTTCCACTAGGGTTCCTGTAACGGTATACTGTATGTGATTCATGTGAGATCATTTGGACAGCATATTCCATGCATGTGTTCAACCACAATTTGTCATGTGAGCATGTCTATGAAAAAAAAAAAGGATTCTGACATTGCCACCACAAAGATGACCTGTAAGAAGACCATCTGCATCAAGATAAAGAAATAGAAATGTTTTCCCATTTTACAAATACAATACTTTACCAATAAAAACTTTTGGATCACAAACCTGGTCCCAAATTCTTGGTGTACGTCACCAGATCTTCCATGCTTTCAACCACCTCTGCAACAGCCAGGTACTCCAGAATACCTTTACACACTCTGATTATTTTCCTCACCTGGTTAAGGGTAAATAGAATAATAATTAATGAATAGAGAATTCAGGAAAGAATTCAACCTGACAGAGTTATCTTTGAAAGAACAAAAACTCCCTGTAAACTAAGAAATACAACTACAATGGTTTTTTGACTTCATTTCCAATTTGATTGACCTTAAACAACTGACATTCTGACATTAGGGCAGTTGAATGGAGTCATTAATGAAAATGTTCAGCACTGGAATACTGGACCATGCAGGGTCTAACAAGACGCTGGCTTTTTATTTCCTAGCTTTTAACAGTATGTCATATGTATCATTGCTTGCAACGTTCAGTGTATAATAATTGAATGGGAGTTAGTGTATAGAGCACTTTGGGTACTTTTTGCAGGACAAAAAAAACTGTATATGTAAATGATATTTTCATATGTTCATTAACCATGGATTCACGAAATGTGACCATGACAGAGAAGAAACACAGTAGAACCATATACAGAGTTGATGGTGATAACTAGGGATGCACCGATACCGATACTAGTATCGATATCGGTGCCGATACAGAGTATTTGGCCTAGTACTCTTATTCGCCCAAATGCTCCGATGCCTAGCACGAGTACTATCAGGGAGCCGGCCTCCCGGCCAATCAGAAAGCAGGGCGCCGCGTCATTACACGGCGCCCGGCTTCCATGATTGGCCAGCAAGACGGCTTCCATGATTGGCCAGCAAGACGGCTTCCATGATTGGAGAGGCCCCGGGTTTAACAGGCTGGACATGCCGAGGTGAGAGGGGACAGCATTCTTGTTAATCGGGAAGCTGGGTGGCAAGTCTTTACACGCTGCCCGGCTTCCCGGCTAATCAGAAAGCCAGGTGACGAGTCATTACACGCCACCTGGCTTCCTGAATGGGACTTCCGTTGCTCGGTAATTAGTATCGGCGAGTACCGAAAAAAATTATCGGTACTCGTAACCAAAATACCGGTATCGGTGCATCCCTCGTGATAACACTGACACTTAAGGTATGGGAAATATTTGGCATGGTTTTACACATCCAGGAAACCTAAAATGGAGAGGTGCTGTTAAATCTTTGCTAAAATACATCCTCATTAAAATGCACCAGATTATTTATGATATGATGAGAAGGCTCTATTTTACAACAATTAGGGGTATATTTATAAAAGGTTAGCAAAAGCTCTACACCAGTGGTTCTCAACCTTTCTCGGGTGGGGACCCCTTGGTAACATTTGCCAAGCTGTGGTGACCTCAACGGTAAAATCTAGGGATTACCCGGCTGCTGCAGCGACATCTGGCGGCAAGGCGGGAGAACTGACACTGCAGCGCTAGGAGAGGGCTGAGGAGGACTCTCACCTAGCACAGCAGAAATCACACAGTGACCCACAGGTTGAGAACCACAGGCTGAGAACCACAGGCGTACGCCGTCAGAATAAAAAACAAACAAACAACCACCATAGCATAGCAATAGACAATAGCAAACTAGCTATTGCACCCGCCCTCTGCTGCTGTCAACCACCAGAAGAGGACAGGTCCCCCTCTGCTGATAGGCAGAAGCTGAGGGCGGGTGCAATAGCTAGTTTGCTATTGGCTATTGCAAAGTGAAATAGCCAATAGGAATCTAGCTATGCATTCCTATGGCGGGTTTTTTTTTTCTGACTGACGCCCGCCGGCGGCCCCCAATGTCAAAAAAAACAAAAACAATCACAGGGCAAGGTTTACTCTGCTCGATCGAGCAGAGTAAACCTTTCTGGGAGAAAGTGTTTCTCTCCTGGGAGGCCGGGAGCCGCTATCTAATAGCGGGAGACTCCCGGGCGACCCCTGGCAAATAGTCATTCGACCCCCGACGGGGTCGCGACCCACAGGTTGAGAACCGCTGCTCTACACTCTGCCAATGTCTTCTTTTTAGATTTGCACTGCATTGTAGCCACAAGATGGAGTCAAGCAAAGGCAATTCCTATGCTCCTTGGCTCCATCTAGTAGCCAACATCCACAGAGCAAAGAGTTCTGCAAACATTTTATAAATACACCTCATACCCAAAGTGAGGGGTGGGCACAGGTGCATGTATACTTCCCACACAATGCTCAATGTAATACTTCAAGCTTAAATCCAGAAAATTCAAGACAAATGAAAATATATGCCTGAAAATGGATATTTCATTCTGTTTAGCAAGTTTTAAGATTGTCCCACAGTACATAGCCAGACTGGTGACACCACATTTATTTCAGCATTGCTAGTTTTTGGGTCACCCACTGTGCTAAATAATCACCCAATGAGCTTAGAGGTAATGTAGAAAACTGCAAAGATAAAAGAATAAAAAATAGTGGCGTCACCAGACCCGTCAGTCTGGAGTTCTGCTTTAATCACTAAAAAGAAAGATTAATACTAAAACACACACAGGTTATCCCAGACATAGGACAACGTAGGAGGCTAGGCACCTACCTCAGCCTCATCAAAAGTCAGAAGCAGATCTGAGGTGCCAGAGAGGATTCCACGAGAACCATCAATAAGGTAATCACGAGCTGGCACAGAATATGGATCTGCATGCAGCATTTGAGCAGCCTGGACAAGCTTAGCACACGCATTTTCTACTCTGGGGGGAAAATAAAAATAAGTCAACTTACAATGAAACATTTAAAAAAAATATAGAAATGAACAGCTGATAATTACTAACTAAAAGAAACACTTTAACTCACGATCAAAAGACATCTATAAAACAACAACAAACAATGTACCAACATTATTCCTATGCAACACAAGTACAGTATTAAAAAGAACCGACTACCTTTTTACCTTGATCCATCAAGGAAGGTTGTAAAGTAAGAGTTAAGATAAGGTTTTACTAATTAAAAGAAACAAAGCAATGTCTAAGTCTGCAGAAAATGAATTTGTATTTTAAATGATCTCTAACATCAGTAACTGATGAAATATTGAACTGAAAATCTGATAAGGACTTCATTAGGGCAATGGTCCTCAACCACCAGGCCGCGGCTCCAGGAGCAGATGTGGCTGGCAGCCTGTAGTTTCTACAGGCTACTGGTCCATTCTGACCTCTATCAGAGTATCTATCTCTATATGGTTTACAATCACTGACCTAGAGGGCAACAGAGTTTTCTATGTTGTTTACTGCTTACAGCTTCAACATGGGATCTTTCTTTCCAATGGTCCCTTCTAAACCAGGGGTGGACTAATTTATATGGAATTCAGGAGCCAACAGATTTTTTTTTTGTTTTTTTAAGGAGCCAGCTCCATTGCAACAACTGGTCGAAATCCTCAAAAGTTAGGCATCAGCTGTTATTTTTAAGGACCAGTGGCTACCTGGCTCCTGGGATTTATCACGCCTTTTTCTATACTTTAACCAAATAAAAACATTTAAACAGCAAAGAAAATATGAGAAAGTTCAGGAGATTAACACATATCTAACCCAAAAAACAAACAGTTTTCAGTAGAGGAAATGCCTGCAGTCACCCAAGCAGAGGAAGTGTTTTATTCACAGAAACACTGGCTAAAAATAAAAAGGGAAAATATACTGAAAAAAGAAAATGAATGCAATCACTATATCTATGGACTGCTAACTGCAATATGCTTTCAGTTACATGGTTATGAGAGTCTAGTGAAAATGGTCCTCTCACTAGATATTTGTTTAAAATCTTTACTGAACAAGATTATAAAGATACAGCCAATGCGTTTCAGTTATGACAGGGAGCCTAGGTTTGCTTCAAAAACATCAGAAAGCATTGAGTAAAGCAAGAACTGCCAACTCAGCATTAACCTGTAAACATGGCCGGGCTACAGCTTCTATTATGGGGCAGCATGACCACCAGCAAGAGGGAGAAGATGGGAGCTCATTGTCAACTGCTTTGGGTCAGGAATGCTGCTTGCCACTGCCAGAGCTTCTTGGAAATAAATAAGTTTTCAGCTCTTCTTTTATTAAAATTAATTTTGTTTTAGGGTAGGTTCATAGCTGCAAGAAGATCTAAACGCATGTTGCACCGAACCCAGCAAATCACACTTATGATAGAGGCTGGGAGAACAGCATAGATTGGAAGGACACAGACCACTGCAGCCAGGAGCAAAAAAAAAAAGGAACCCCACTTTTTGTCCAGAACCACCAACAAGCTCCTGGACATCAAAGACCAGGGCTTGAAAAATCCACTCGTCTGTGACGAGAGGACGCCGGAGCCGGACAAGTAGCCTCCCGGCCGGCCATTGTGATTTAATGGCCGGCAGCTTCTTGGATGGCGGTTTACATTCAAGCAATCGGGCGCCCCTAGAGCTGCCCGATCGATTGTATTAGCTGCGGTTTAACCCCCCGCCCCGTCCCCCCAGCCGCTGTCACTGCTGTTGCCGGTCCCGGGATCCGCTGTGTCCGGGACGGCTGCTCTGTCACAGGAGATCAAACAGAGATCGGTACACGAACTCCTCTCCAGTCGCCAAATGCAGGAAGTGATGTTTATTACATCACTTCCACATTCAGCTGTCATTCCTGGCTACAGAAGCTGGGAAGAAGTTGGTGAAGCAGATCTCTGCTTCATCAGCTTCACTGGGGGTCCCTGGGTGACATTAGGGGTCTTGAAAACCCCCGATGTCTCCATAAAGAGTACCTGTCATGTAAATTGGCTATCACATAGGGAGCTTCTTAGCCCCCCATGTGATAGCAAGACATTCGTCAAGTGCATCTACGTGCGAAACGCCGATTGTGCCGCACATGTTACATATCACCGCGAACGTCGCAGTGAGAGCAATAATTTTAGCACCATTAATCACTGATAGCACTAAACTGATGAGCAGTAAGAGAGTTTAAAGTGTCGCCTATGGCCAATTTTCGGTGTGGTAGTTTGTTGCGATTTTACGGGCGGGCGTGTGCAATTTTAAGGCTCGACATGTTTGGTGTCTATTTACCCGACGTGACCCCGTCTTTTATATTTTACCAAAAATATGGGTAAGAATAAATGTTTAACATAACGTAGGGAAAACTTTTTTCTTTAAATAAATAAAAATAAAATAATATATTTTTAAAAATTTGCAAAGGTTTGAGGAAAAAAAAATTTGGTTTCGGTTTGACATTGTTATTTTCGGTTTTGTAAATTGAATTTCTGTGTACCTCTAATGACAACAACTATTTGAGCATTTGAACGTTCAGTTGACAGATATCACCAGAGACTAGTCTGAAATGTAACTGTTTTGGGAAACCAATAAAATGGCCGTGCTGATTGGACACATAGCTAAAATAAAGACCCTTATCCTAGTGTTAAAACTTTGTGAATTGAGGATAAGGTGTGTTAAATTGAACATCCAAATGTTCAAACTCCAACTGTGAAGATTTCAAATTCAGAATTCTATACGGAGTATACTGTATATAACTGGGGCTCACAGCTCTGAGTTAAGTTGCTCGGTTTGCACTGAGTGCAGGCAATTTTATTGTCTACAGAGCTTTTCCTTAAGAGGAAATGGGGAGTAGACGCATGTACTGTGACTTTCAGACTCCTCTGAACACCATCCAAGAGGAGCCAATGGACAGATAATGTCCAGCACTGTAACTGTCTGCAATGGCTACACTAACGGCCTGACAACACTGATTTATTGTTCGGCAGTCCATTGTATGTCCAAACCCAGGGTGAAAAGTTCATCCAATTTGATCCTGAATGTTCAAATAAAGAATGAACAAAAGATCTCACATGTTCATATACTATCCATGCACACACAGCAGAATGTTTTTGATTCACTATTCTAAGTTACTGTTTATTTTTACAATAACATACATTTCAGAAAAGGAAGGCACAGTTGGAATACATCATCCAGCCCTTAACTATTACATATGGTAATAACAAACAGTAAAGGATAACAGGAAATATTATAAAGAAATACACATACATCTACACGGATATCATAGATCAATAGAACACTCACTTGATGAAAGCAGGCGGCATGTCTCTCCTCATTATCTGATCATCAGTCGTCTGAACAGTTTCTTTCCCAACCTGACAAAAAACAAAAAGTTGGCAATGTTTAATTAATTCTATTTGTTAATAGGGCAGATAAGAAGCAATCATAACTGCTGGCTTGGAGTCTAGATGGGGAAGGTATCTGGAGTAGAGAAATTCTCCTGTGTAGTAAATGAAAGTGCTCATTCTCATCAACACTTTGAATGGTTTTGCATTGTTTTAGTAAGCTCCAGTTGTAATGATACCAGAGTATGCCAAAGGCAATAGCTTATGGCTATGCCTGTAAAGTAGTAAGCTTGGAATTACTGGCACTAAGAATACATACCGTATTTGCCGGCGTATACGGCGACTGGGTGTATAAGACGATCCCTAATTTTTCAGTTAAAACATAGGTTTTGGGCTATAGTCGTCGTATAAGACTACCCCCCCTTCCGAGGCTTCATATTTCCTTCTTCTTCTTAGGGATGTTCGTTTTGGGCCAGCTTGGCCCGAACGAACGAAAGGTTCACATTCAATACCCCACGTATAAGACAACCCCCGATTTTCAGGGGATGTTTTTAAGTATAAAAAGTAGTCTTATACGCCGGCAAAAATTGTAGATCTGCTACATTTGCTTTGGCCTCTCATTACAACTTTCCCAATATAAAACTAAAGAGCATCATAAATGAGCTAAGAGCCATTTCACCAGGCTTTAATCTACCAATCTGACATTTTTTTCCCCCAGCAAGGTTCCCCCCACCCCCTACAAAATAAAACAGTATAGCACATATGGCATACGGACTGATATTCCCATTCCAAGAGGGAGAAGATACCAGTTCATACCCCCTTCAAGGGGAAGTATGCAGTATAGTCACTGAGCACATATTCTGAGTGATGACTGCAGTGTATAACTTAAAGGAATTTTAGAATTGCTTTTACATTTTAACCTGAATGTTCTTCCATCCATATCATCAAAGTATGAATATTAGCCACCAGAGGGAGCGATTTACAACTGAAATCACTCAGCCTTTCTGCACAGCAAATGTTGAGCTATCAGCCACATAATGACGGACTGCAACAGCTTCCGATGGACACACTGACATTGTGATAAGAAAGTAGATTAGTAGAAAAGCAGTAGAACAGAATCATTGTGTACAGATGAAAATCAAAAAGCAGAGCCTGTGTATTTTATTACTAGTTTTTTGGTGTAGCACCAACAATTTACGTGGCAGTTTATATACTGCACATTCACATCAGTCTCTGCCCTCAAGCAGTTTATAAACTAAAGTTACTAAATCATATGCAAAAATTCACATACCAGTTTTGACAGGAGCCAATTTAACTACCAGCATGTTTTTGGCATGTGGGAGAAAATCCGAGTACTGGGAGGAAAGCCGAACAAGCACAGGGCGAACAAGCAAACGGGTAGTGTCCTAGCCGGTATTCCAACCGGGAACCCCAATGCTGCAGGGCAGGTGCTAATGACTAAGCCACTGAGCTGCCCAGTTTGTATGTAATGATAATGTCCTGACCAGGATTGGAATCGGTAAACCCTACTATACAGGATTTATATAGCACCAACAGTTTGTGCAGTGCTTTACAACATATGGGGAGACAGCACAAGTACAATACCATACAAAAGGATTAGAGGGTCCTGCTCGTGAGAGTTTACAGTCTACAAGGAGGGGCAAGTGATACAGAAGATAATAACTGAGGGATGAATTGAAGGAGTAGATGTACAGTTTTTAAGAGGAGGTGGAATAGGCTTCCCTGAAGAGGAGAGTTTTCAGGGAACACAAAGACAGATCAGGAGATAGCAAGATAGGTTATGGTAGGAAGTTCCAAAGGATGGGAGGGGCCCTGGGGAAGTCCTGAAGGTGAGCATGGGAGGAGGTATTGAGGGAACTAGACAGAGATTGAGGTCTTGAAAGGAGCAGAGAGGGCGGTTTGGGTGAAATCTTGATTTGAGTTTGGCGATGTAGCCGGGGGCAGAGTTGTGGATAGCATTTTGAATTTTATGCGTTGTGCTATTGGAAGCCAGTGGCTGGATTGGCAGAGAGGGGTGGCAGTCACTAAGTGGTTTGGTGAGGTGGATGATTTTGGCAGCAGCATTCATGATAGACTGAAGGGGAATAGCCTGTGTAGAGGAAGGCCAACAAGAAGGGAGTTGCAGTAGTCAAGACGAGACACGACTAGAGAAAGTGAATTAGTAGCATCTAAGCCACTTGGCCTGTATCTAATGAGTAAATATGGCTGCCACAAAGAATTGTTTATTCCCTTCAAGATTGAGGATGAGGGCCAAAAAAAGATTTAAAAACCCCACCTCAAAATTAAGTGATTTTCAATTTCCCTGCCAATTCCTGCTCATTAACTAAAAAATATGAAATCTCCCATATTGATTGTAGGATTGCGGGATAGTCTCGCTCTCTAGTGCCCGCAGTGTAATTCTTATTTAATTAAATGAAATGGACGCATTGCCGTTACATTTTAGATTGACAGGGTAGGACTTTCCCATAATTTCAAACCCGAGTGAATGCAATAAATACGGACTAACAAAGTGACTGCTTTCTTTAATTTTTATGGCAATCTATCCATGTAGAAAAATAGGAACTATGTTTGATGCTTGTTCTTGAAGATTTTAGGGGTTATCGTTATTATCCTTGCTTGACCACTGAGCCACTGCAAACTAGCAGATGTCGGACAGGTGTCCTAACAAGTTCCATTTAATTTGCTTTGGGTAAACAGTTAAGAAGCCAGGACACAGGCCCCGCATTCCTGAAGTACCTTTCTTGGTGTACCAGTAGTGCAATATTCTGAGGCCTCCCTAGTGAGGCCTGCCTGCTGCTAAAGAGCATATGACCCAGTATAAACATAGCCGAGTATAACCTCACTTACAGCCCTTGCACGGCGAGGATAGAAAGCACGAGTAGGCAACCCTGTTACTCCCAACTCCCATCATGAGTCTTCCTCTTGGAGTCATGCTTGTGGCTGTCCAGTGTCTTGCAATGCCTCATGGGACTTGTAGTTCCAGAACAACTGGCGAGCTGAGGTTGCCTATTCCCGATATAAACACTTATGCCTGTTGTGCTATTGGCGTTTCTATAGCATTGCGTTATAACCTGACAAGCATGGAAAGTCACAGAAGCAGTGTCTGGAATGATGTGGCAGCCTGTTATTCTTTAATTGCGTATATTGGTTGAACTTGATGGACATGTTTTTGTTTGTTTGTGTATATATATATATATAAGCTCAAATAAAGCAGATATACTCACCTGCTCCTCGGTCCCGCAGCCGTCAGCGCTTACCTCTCTCCCCTTCACTCCAGCTATGCAATGTCCCTCAGTGTCCTTATGTCCAATACAAGTTAATGGACCTACATGTGATGATGTCAGTGGTCCTTAGAAGGCTTGAGCCCAGGGGAGAAGAGACCGCAAGGACTGGTCTAGCTGCCCAGCAGGACTGAGAATCAGTAAACTATATTTGCTTTACTTGATGAGGTGAGTATTTTCACTCTCTTGCAGCTTGGAGGGTAGCCCCACAGCAAAGGTAATTTTTTTGTTTTTAGCATCTTGGACTTCTTCTTTAGCTCATGGACTTATTATTAGGGATAGCAAATGTTCAAGAAATGTTAAAGAGCCTTTGATTAAAGAAAAAATACTAAGATAGTCATCCACATCTGTTGAGTTAAGAAAGTTCACTCAACCCATTAAACCGCTCCTAGTTCGAGCCTCTCATTATACACATAAAACTATACATTTAAGGGTAGTGCTGACCCTAATTTTATCATTACCATCAGACTGAGTCTAGACAAGGTCACCAAGGAAATAACTGACTCACTAGCAATTGCAGCATGAAAGAGGATCAGACACTAGTAAGAGCTAAATGACACCTACCAGACTTGATCCAACCACTAAAGCTCTCTGAGAGCCAATATAAATCAAAACTACTTTTATTACTATAGCACCCCAACAGTATTATTACCGAGATAATAGCACAGCCAATAACCTTAACAGCAAATTAAAGGAATCGGAAAAGGTTTATTTAGTTGCTGTTACGTTTGACATTATCCCTTTATGACACCAGTTGTAATGAGTAAATGGCTGGTCAGCCCTCTGTATATGAAAGGAAGGAAACAGAAATGTCATCTGGAGAATGAGTTTCTTTCATGAGATGAGATGGTAAACCCATTACCCATACTTTCCAGCTGCTTAAGATTCATGTACAATAGAGAGGAACTTAAAGGGAAATGAGTACATATTTAAAGTGGCTGTTCAGTCCTTATGGTATGTTAGCTATACCATATCTCCATTATTTGATTACATATACAGAACAGTAGATTCTCTTCTTTAAATTACTATCTAGATGTACTTGAGTCATCTTGATCATTTCTCACAATGAAAGACTACCATTCTAAAAAAATAAACAGGGTTGCCCATTAACTGCCCCACCAGAGCAGACCCAGTGCCTGCCTAAAAGCACATCTCCAACACACTGTTTGAGCCCCAAACCAATGAACTGAGAGTCAAAAAATTTATTGGTATTTGATCAGCAAGGCAATATAAAACAAGCAACTAGGGCTGAAACTAATCTATAAAGTCGATAATTGATAATGAAAATCGTTGTCAATTATTTTCATTATCGATTAGTTGGTTGCTCGATTAGTTGGGCTGCTTTCACCCTCACTCCCTCCCCACCTCACGTGCTTGAGAACACCGGTGAAGCCGCAATATAGCGTAATTGGCCCAGAACCAGAGTGACTGTTTGGGCACTGCTGGAGGGCCCGCAGGCTCCCCCACGTCTCAGCCTCCTCATCTCCTTCTACCATGAATGATCATAGTGGACTGTCGGACAGGATGAATAGAGCCATCCCAGTGAAACGAGATAAGGAGTCCCAGCGCAGACTGACAGTTCGGGACCCTCTACTTCCCCCCTGTCTCAGCCTCCTTCCTACTCCTCCCCAGGCTGCTCACAGTGGACTGGCTGAATAGAGATGTACAACCAGTGTGTATTATGTGTGCTGTGTGTGTATTATGCACCTTCATGCTACCTGTTGTACG